TATTTTCCTATTATTTACCAACAAAATTCAGTGATCCTCATTTATTAATTAAAGAAATTGGAGAAATAAAATAGTAATTTGCTCATAGAAGCGGAACATGATTCAAATCATGTGCGATGCAGAAAGTGCTGCATCATCGATTTTCCTGCGTATTTATATTCACACGCCAATTCCACCACATCCATATTGAGATCCAGTTTAATGTCGGATGAAACACCATTATACACCTATTGAGCCACCCTGTAATAGGTGGCTACAAGATAGCGCCAGAAATGATATATTGTTCCAACGCCACATACATGCACACGAACGATGAATTATGTACCTTTGTGAGATCAATTTCGGTATACAAATTCAACACGTTCACTTTATGGAACGCTTTACTGAATTCGTGTATAGCATTCAGAACAGCACCATGGACATTTGATTCGTGTTGGAGATATTGAGACAAGACACAAAATGAACCCATAGTGAACTCTAAAGAAACATCTGAAATGCACAGAAATTTAACGAAAAACAAACGCAACTGGACTTTTTGAGAGGATTTGTTTAAAGTATTTCTCTRAAGTATTTACATCCACTTTTCAACATTTTGTTAGCTTCTACCCCAATTACTTAGCTAATATATTTCGCATATACAGGGTGATTGATTASGTGAATWGGAAATACCCATTTATGTGCTTTTATACGTGCTGAACTGAATTATAAACTCAGTTAAAATAAAGTTTTCATCAATTATTGAATCCCCAATTTTCAATGTTTTATCTACTATCTACAAAAATATAGGGTATTCCATATTAGCTACGAGGCAACACCKTGAACAAGAAGATGAATATGGGCACAAAGTGTTTCAAGAAGGAAACAAAACTAAACGTTTCTTCAAATCTCTCGCGAACCTTTGCCAAACACTTCAYTGGCTCTTCATTAGGAGGCAATTGAATGATYCGTTCAATTTAAAAACTTGCCTGTCGTGTTATTTATTTTAAACGAATATTTTTAAGTCATTAAAATAAAATCAAATTTAAAGGTCTAACACGCTTTATGTGTTTATTATATTGTGCGTTCGCAAACGCTGTTCTTATGCAGATGAGAGTTTTCCACAAGATTAAAGTTTACTTTCTATTTTATCATTTCCTGGCTAGCTTTACTGTTATTTTAATTTTATGTTTTCCTTAAATTTTGCATAGTTTTTGTTAAAACGTAAGTGCTGGCAATGATCATACATTAATAGATGCTTTTCGGAAATTTTTAATTAATTCAGAGCGTTGTTTGTTATTTATTGAAGAAATTTTCCTGTCTAAAATTTATTTAAAAATTACTGGACATTATATACTGCTCAATATGATAAATTACTGCTCAATATATATTCATTATTAATAGTTATACTGGCTGATTCACAATCTTTTGGGCACAAAGTTACAAAAAATGGTTGGTATTTTCTCCTTAACTCCTACAGTTTACTTAATTATTAATTAATAATATATTTTGCTCACATTTTTAACGTACGTAGGCTAATGTTTAGACCCTTTATCCGTAGGTAAGGCTGATTGTGAAACTCTACAGGGTGTTCTTTTCTCTAGAGGCATACCCCCTATTACACCCCAGACCGTTTTTGTGGTGCGCCGTTGGCTTCAGCTGAACACATTTTTTGCATTTTCTGTTCAATTTAAACATTTTCTGATCTCTTGCAGTTTTTTCGCATCTGGTTTCGTTTTCAAGTTACTTGCACAAATATAAGTCCATGTAGGGTTTCTGGGTGATTTTCTATGAATTTTTTATGCCTTGTTTTATTATTATTATTATTATTTGTGCCTTTTCGTTCACATTTTATGATAGTTGCTCCAATTTTTTTCGGGAAAGCCGCCACAAACTCAAAAAATATAAACAATTTCAACAACAAGAAAACAGTCAAAAACGAGAGAAGGTAATTAATAATTAATTCAAACAATAAAATCTGCTAATTAATCGTTTCACAATCTTGTGATCAAAATCAGTAGAAGACATGCGACCAAAAAACATAGAAGAGAAAATTATTAAAATTTCCCGTTTAATTAATGTATCGTTTCGCTTGAAACACGTTCCTGTGCTGTGGACAACGGCAGATGTAATGATGATACCAAAACCCGGTAAAACTATAAACGAAACTAAATCTTACCATTTCTACAGGCCCTTTTCTCTTCTGCTCATTTATGCGACATAAATGAAATGAGCAAATATATTAATCGTAAAGAAATGGCAAATTTTCATTAATAATAACAAATAACATAGGCCTAATTAATGGTGCAATCAAATAGTTATTAAAATATAAACATTATCACAAAAATGTGTTTTTTTAGTATAAATTGAGAATTTTTCTCTTCAACCGATCTAATCCATCAAAAAAATGTCGGTCAATAACATGTATCTTTCAGCCACTAGTTAGCTAATATTATGTCATAACCTGATCAGTAGCTATTTAAATTTTGGCGTGTAAACGTCTCAACTGAAATCGTCAATCAAACTTAAGCAACACATGAAAGTCACTGATAAATAAACTGCTTCAACATCAATGAATCAATTCGAATTTTAAATTGAACTGTACATTATTGTAACAAAAGCTACTCTTTAAATGTTCCTGTTTCATCGTAAATATTTACATTTCGCACAAGGTAAATGCCAGATGTTCTTAGGCGCCACATACTAGTCGGTAAAAACCGGATTATTTTGCATAAAAATTGAACTGAAGAGTTCAAGTATTGTCAAAGGTGAACACCAAGGTGTAACATTGTTATGCAATTCATGCAAAAATATTCCGAAACTACACAAAAATGTTGTTCTGGGTTGAACAGATGCAGCGATAGCCTGAGTAAAACGCGTTTTCATTTTTATAAGTGCAAAGGATGAAAAATTGCATCGTTTTTCAGCAGTGAAAATAGCAGGGATCGTAGAAGGTTTGTTCGAATTGAACCAGTTCCATCAAATCCTCTTATTTCCTTATCTGCGTTAAATTAACATTTCTTGTCCTTCCTCAAGTGCTTTCTCCTTTTCGGAGTTTTGCAATCATCATATCTTTGAAGCCGCTGTTCTAAACAACTGGATGGATGTGAATTGATACCATTCTCTGCAGTTTCTCTATTTTCTTCGTATTGGCCTTGTCGAAGGTCTCACCGTAGCACAGAGAGCATAGCCAAACACACACCAACTCACTCAGTTACAATGAAAAGTTTCTGTAAATATGTGCCCGCAAATGCTGCGCTCTCAAGGTGTTGGAAGTTGCAAGTAAGTTTATCTTTTTCTTTATTGTGTTTCCGCGCGTCACGAGTATGGTAAAGTATCTTGTAACTCAATTGAATACCTTGCGCACTTTACAAACTTTTGCATATTTTGTATTTTTTGCCTTTAAGATTTTTGAACAATGAAGAGCATGCAAATGCAGAAAGCACTCACGTTAAAAGTGCTAAAAATTAAGCCAAAGCCAACTTAGAGTTGAAACTATTCTCTCAGTTAGAGAAATACAGAGAGACATCCATTTTATCATTCTCTGCTGGAAAATTCTCATGAATGCAAAAAATCATGATGTCAAAATATTTAAATATTCCTAGAAACTCAATTGATTTACAAACATGTTTAGTCTCACCCAAAACTGTTGAGCAACATCACCAATCAAGAATTTAAAAAAATCTACAGAAATAATCATTATTGGTCTGGACTTATGATTTTAAAACAAAATTAACGTCTTAAAACGTTAAAATGTCCTGTTTCCATTTGCTGTGTTCAGCATTGTTGATTATAAAACTGCTTAGCTTTTCGGTATTTTTGTCCGTTGTGATTTATTCCACCAAGGAATGGCCGCGAAAGTCGATCTCTTTTAATAAAACACCCTTTATAATATTTGATAGTGTAATTTTGAAAATTGGAAACGACTCAGTCTATTTTTTTTTCGTAAAAACTCTGGCCACGGATTTTTTACGTAAAACTATGTAGTTTCTGGAAAAGTAATAAAAAATATCTCAAAACTTGATATTGATTTGTCAAAACGAATTATTCGAGCGAATTTTCACATATTTGTATTCTCGTAATATTGTTACACAATTTATTAGTATACTATTTTTAGGTTCATTTAGGTTCTTTTGATAACGATAGCAGAAAATATGTTTCTTTAAAATTAATTTCTTTACTAATTGGAATTTTCTCTTACAGCTTGAGCCTGATAGTTCTTGATTACCTTTTGATAAATAATTCGTTTTTATTGCGAATATTTTTAATGTGTTTTTATTGATAAGAGCACTGTTTATCACTCTGTAATAAAAAACGTGAGGAAATTCAGTCTTTTTTAAAGACAAACATTTTTGAGGCGGAATACCCAGCAAACAGTTTGTGAAAACACCGTTTATAATGTTTCTGATAATGTATAGCTTATTGAAAAATAAAGGAGCAGGAAAATATATTAAGCAATTATCTAAAAGTGCTATTAAACTTATGTATATTTGTTTTAATTATGTTTTTTACATATAACAGGATGGTCTCGATTTTATTTGCGAGACTTTAAAGGCAAATTTTATTTACATCCAAATACATTACAGAAATGCGGGAAAATGCGCTCACTTAACAAGTATTCATTTCTTAAATTTATATTACCAAAGATATTTCTTAAAAAGTAACTTTGAGATATTCCTAGTTACTTTGCTAGAAACTACATAGTTTCTACGTAAAAAATTCGAAATTGGACTTATGCATGACTAAATATACTGATTTCTTGTCTCTTTATAATATACGAATAATACAGGCAATTAAACCAACTTAAAGCCCATATAACGACCAATTTTTGTTAATAGCAAACACTTCGCAATGTTAGATGCTAAAAATAACCTGCGGACTTGGATTTACGATTTTTTTTAAATTTAAATTATTGAAATCCCATAAAGGAACACAGAAAAACCACTACCAGAAGTTAACAAAAACATACTTCCTCGTTTACAGAGTAATAAATCAAACCAGAATGTAGTTTGATGACTCATGAACAATGAAATAACCGTTTAAAGCACGATTTCAAGTACCATTCTTTAATACCAATCTATAATTGGTCACAAAAGAATGGTACACATGTATACAGGATGAGTCTCAATTTGATGAACAAACTTTTATCATAGAATCTACACCAAAAAAATACTGTTACTATGCTAAATAAAGCACAATCCTAAAAAAGCTTTGTTGATAAAAGTTATATATAAGTTTAATAACAAATTGTATTGAGGGAATTCACATGTGTTATCACATCTGTAAAATAAAAGTACCTATGTACAAACAAGAACCTGCATTAATCTTATATATAGAAATACCAGCCAATTGCATTTGTATTCCCTAAATGTTCAAAGACTTGCCCATTGATCAAATAATCTAACTATCTAATATAGAAGTATTTTTTAATCAGTGCCTCCAAGGAAGCCCTTTAACTTTTCATGTTATACCTGCCATGTTCTAATCTTAAAAAATTAGATGTGGGCACCGATAAACAACGAAACCAAATCAAATCAGGCTCGCAAAATTAATTGGATCAATTGCCCTTCATTCGGCCGCATTAGTCATTCTATTCAATTTTCACACGTTCTATGTTCTTCTTCATTGTCTATAAAACTTTCTTAGGAGATTCTGTGAAGCTGCAGTTTGTGCATATTCAAATATCTGGAATCTCATATTAACTGAGTGAAAACGACATTGTTGCGAGATAGAAAACGTGGACCCATTTTAGGAAGCAAGCTATTTAAACTGCTCCAGTGTAAAGCGCTATAAACAGTGCCATCAATTATCCAGAAGGTGTAGCAAATGCGCCCAGATATATCTGCTCATTCCATTGTTAGAGTGGAAAATTCGGAAATTGCTTACAGTAACGTTTCAATTATTTCGCTTGAAAAGATTAAAGGAAATGGAGAAATCTATAATGAAAATTTCTTAAAATGTTCAAATGCTACTCGTCAAAGAGAACCAGTGTGCATCAATGGCTCAATTAGAAACAAATGTTTCAGGCAGATTAGTCAATTTTTCAAAAATTTATTATTTTTGATGTATTATAAACGGATCACGTGATTTGTTATTATGCACATCTGCATTATATGCGGAACCCAAAAACTCTAATTAGCAATGTTTCCCCTCTAAATTACTTGGATATAATGTGAGCAAGTTAATAAAGTGTGGCTATTTTCGGTCGGCCTATTTATGTTTGTTATTTGGCATTATCACCTTTTAATAAGCTATTCAGGAAAATTATGGAACGATATTTACGCAGAGCAGCGCGATTTCTATAGAATTATTGTCGGGGAATTGTGCACGAGTTAAATAGCAAAAGCTGGTGAGAAATATACAGACATAAACCAGAAGCAGAAAAGGATTAATATTGAGTACACTTTCACTCCACAACTTTCATTTGGAAGAAGTTTAGAGCTTTTAATTTTACGAGGAAATTAATGTACTTAATTAACTATTTATTGCTGTAATTAATGCTTTATTAAATAGTATTGAAGCTGTAAATTCTTTCAATAAAAAACTAAAAATTCTTTAAAATTTGTAATTTTTTCCTTACCTGCTCTTTTGAATTGGATTCAAGATATGAAAATATCTCAACAAAATGCAGTAACTATCCAAAATTCAGCAAAAGTTAATTATATTCACGTTTTCACTGAAACTTTGCAATTTTTAAACAACAAATAAAATTCACTTTTCAACTTTTTTTTACCTCAGTTGCTTCGATTTACGTAAAAAACTGCACACATTTTTGAAAATCCGGACGCACGTCTAAAAGCGCACTTGAAAGTTGCGTTCGGAAAATTCGCGCGCGAATGAAAGCTTTCAGATGGCCAGTTGTGGCGCTAAAAGCTGCCGAAGTGCGACTGAAACGCTAAAGATTGGACGCTAAAAATTTCAGCTTTCGCGTTGGCGAAATGCGGGCGACATGTTGGCGTTTGTCGTCATTTTTTTTGCTTCTTTCTTGTCGCATTTAATTCCCAAACGATCGCAAACCAAGTCCCATTTAATTAATTTAAGATGCCAAAATCGTTTCAGTCGACTGAACTTTCCAAATAATGTAAATATAATCCTCTTCGATTGCTCTCGAATTCAATTTCTACCATTGCCAGAAAGTGTTAAGTGTTAGTAAACAAGTAGTAGTCGGACTGCATTCATTTTTTTAAAAAATAAGAAAATAAACCTATAATTAAATTAAAAAATGTAAAATTAATAAATGAAATAAATAAATTATTTAAATTGTCTATGAAGTTTTAGCTTCAAGATGAGCTGGAGATCGTAAAAATCGGACCAAAAGTAGAAAAGTTTTCGCTGCAAGACCAAAAAGTTGATTTTTTGAGACCACCCTATTGAGACTCAGATTGACTCAGAATTTCAGGATTTTTACGAAACTTTCAGCACCTTTAGCGTCAAATATCTTCTCAAGATGGTGAAACTTTCCAATTGCTTCTTGATTTGGTTTCGAAGATACGATTTGTTTCGAGAGGGAGCGTAGTTAACTGAAAACAGTAAATTTGAGGCTCATGCTTAACAAGGTGGAAAAAATGAGGATTTTGTCCGATTCTTTTGAAACTTTCTGAATCCTGAGATCCGAGTGTCTTCTAAAGACGGTGAAAAGTTGAAAGTTCTCCTTGCATTTTTTTGCAGTAGAACCGCATTTGACTGAATACAGTAATTTTGAGACTCACTTTCAACAAGCTTGGGAAAATTAGGATTTTGTACGATTCTTCTGACTGATCACCCTGTAAATAGAAAAGATGGCCGAAAAATTTAAAAAACCGTTTTGATCTATTTGGTTTATCTTTAACTTTTGGCGTTGATATCCAAAGCATCCCATTTTTGTCCAAGTGGAGCATGCTAAACTTTGCAACATTTTGCATTATTTCATTTGCCGCCCTGTAGAAAATTTATCTGAAGTGCTTAATTTTTTGCGAAAATATACACTAACTGAAAAATAATTTCACTAAATAAGGCTTCAAACAGAAACGAAATCGAATTTAATAAAAAATTTAATTGAAAAACTTTTGAAGCAAATTGCTATCCACCACATCTCAAAAATTTTCGTATCATTGTTCATTCGATCTATTAAATACACATTAGAAAAAGATCTCATATTCGTCTAGTGTACGCTTTGAGTGTAAGCACTTGTAGAATTTGTAATCCTTTGTATGCTATGTGAACCTTAACGTAATATTTACTCACAATTATATTACAATTTTGCTGGCGCAATTTTCAAATAGGTAGAAAAGAATGTAATTTAAATTGCAAACAGGTTTTGTTTCATTCGAAATTAAAAAATATAAATTATGGAACGCATTGGGGTTTTCTATTTTTTTAATTTCTTATTGTACTTTTACACATTGTACATTTATTTTATAACTTTTGCCAACTTATTTTTTAATTGCTTTAGTATGAATATGCATCTTAAGAAAAGGAAGAAAATAGGCCAAATACCCAACATATAGTAAACGCAAATTATGAATCGAATCAAACTTACCTTTTTATGAAATGTCCATTCAAAGAGGCAAAATTACATTGCATGTAAAATGCCTCAAAGTTTTATATTATCTTTCACCGCGTCATATAATTGTTCAATTTCCTTTATTATGATCAAAATAAAGGATTTTTTTAAATAAAGTACAAGTTTAGTTTGTTGCATTCATATGCAAAGTTAACTAAATACCTAAATTTCATACAAATGTAGTTTTCGATACCAATAATCATAAACAGCAAAAAATAATTATAGAACAGTTTACTTACAATTGAATAACGAGCTAAAAGCCACCCGTTCCTTCTCAGGCAGTTATCCATAAATTTCTACTCGATTCACTTGAGCTGCATACTGTTGATTAGCAAATTATGCTTAAAGTGTCCGCTTCCTGCAACACAAATCTTGCCGTAAGTACGGCCATATATTATGTGTTTAAAAAGTATTATTATTTAATTGTATTTTCTATTGTTTTCAGCTATAGAATGAGCAAAACATGCGAACAGAACAGCCAGTGGAACAATTACACTTACACACGAAAAGAAACACTACGCAAGAAGCAAAATTTTTAATAATCTTCATCTAATTTCTTATTCAATATATCAACTCAAAAAATTGAGCTGTCGTAACATGCAATAAAAAAATATATTTATAGAAAAAGTTATATAATAAACTTTGCATTGAAAATAATATAAGAAATTATTTTCCACGACGGCCCAAATACAGGAAAAACTCACCAGTTTMACAATAAAGCTTAGTGGTAAATTTTAGCATTAGAAGACAAACTTTGTCTTAATTCGATAGCCTTTTTCTGTAGGAAATAAAGATTATTTATATTTATATATACTTTGTCTTAATGCAAATGTCAAAAATACAGGGTGTCCCATAAGCAATGTCCCAAAACACGACGACCTGACCTAACTTGTCATTGATGGTTAAAGTTCTGCAATAAAATTATATATTTTTTTAAATACCGGGACCGTGTTGCGATTGATTTAAATAAAATTTGCTGTGTATTTGTTCATGTGTAAAATTCACATTTTAATAAAGCGTTTTTATCCTTTTTTTCAATTCAGTGGCTTAAAAAAAGTGGCGTTAAAAATCAGTGATTCGATTCAATAAATAATTTTGATTAACGCGCCAAAAATATAAAAAAGTCCTCATAAAAGGTGGAAAAAAATTAGAAGCCCAGAAACGGCAGAACATTAAACCTTTTCACATATAAGAGAGTAAAAGTAAATAAAAATAAACTAAATTTCGTTTGAACTGGTCAAGCACACAGTTAGAATACATAAAAATGTTCAAGGCAGAACAAAAATAATTCCACTTTATCTATCTTGAGGAGAAAAAGAGGGTGTTTTTTCTTTTCCCTTGTCAGTAAAAAATATCTTCTGTTAACACTCCTGTATAAACTTAAAGACTGATAACACTGAAACGACAATGAAATAACTCAGTAATCGTTTACTTTAATTATTCAGTGTAAGATCGAGATAATTGAGTAAAATTTCTGCTGATGTTAAATGAAAATAAAATTAAATTGTAAGTAAACGAAAATAAAAGTAGAATCAAAAATGGGTCTAATAGACAAACTGGCAAAAAAATAAAATCAATTAAAATAGGACAAAATAAATTCAAAGTAAATCTGTACAAGGGTTCAAATTAGGGGAAAAATCATAGTCAATATAACTTGTGTCTCTTTGTGAATATACAGATATTCCAACCACCTCAACTTAAAAGCAGATGAAAAACCGTGCAGTATGGCAGTATCTTAGCATCATCGGCAGGCGAAAACCCATCACCAATTAACTTATAGAAGAATTATACGAAACATTGCAGGTGGAACAATTAAATCCTTATAACATCCTTATTATACGAGTGGTCGCTCTGAGTCGATTTGCGAAAGATATCAGAGACTAAATCTTGGTCACAGATGGACATTTGTGGATCCAAAAAATGCAGCTTATTATTCACTAAGAGCTTGATGGTAAACTGAATATTACTACTAATTCCGGTAAGGAAAGTGAGTATATTTATAACCACTACAAGGTCGCCTTCAATATGAGCAATTGATTGGTTGAACCAAATATGAAGGTGATTCATAAAAGTCTTAAAGGGTCTTAGTCCCAAGTCTTAAACCCATGCTTAAACCGTCTGTCTGCAAATAGATTTTATTATTAAAGAAAAAATCGTTTCATTGAAAAAGTTAATCGATTCAGCGTAGGCACTAAAAAGTTCTCGAATGCGGATGAGCGCAGTAGCTTCAACACATATGCATATGATATGGTACATCCTGTATATTGAAGATAAAATACAGTATTTTATGACTGCTATGGATATTGAGTTGATAATCGCTATTTTCAGCTGCTACACATGCATGTAAGACAGTTCAGATTTTGCAGTTTTTACACATACCTTGCAATATATATTCATATAAAAACCACGTAGTCATTTCTACAGCGATCATTTTGTATACTTGAAAGAAATTTCCAGTAATTTCTCTTGGTCACTTTACTCATATATTTTTCTTACTTGAAATCCACAGATACGGCCGATCACCTCTCTTAGTGGCTCACCCTGTACACTGCGCCGCAAAATTAACGCAGAACTTAAACATTATCTAACTTTTTTTTTATTGTAAAAAAAATCCGAAAAAATCAGTTATAAGTTGACCAATAAATTATTACACTAGTTAAACACCCTGTACAACATGTTTAGTTCATTTTTTTTAAACCAGATTGTTATTATCATACAAAAACCTCTGTATGAAGATAAGAAAATAACACAAACTAGGATGTTGTAAATGAAACGAAGTATTTATTTTATAAAATTATATTTTAGAAAACACTCACATAAACTTATGTACAAGTTAATATGTAGTAACGCATAACTGATGATAGATGATGATAACTAGATGTTTAGTGCATCACGTTAAGAATGAAATGACAATTTTCCAGAATACGTCTCAACTATCTACCCTCATGCTACCAAAGCATTTAAAATTAAAAAATGCCTACTCACAAAACGTAGGTTTTTCGGGCAAATGGTAGTCGATGATTTTCTTTACCACCAATTAAGTCAAAAGTTCAATTAACAACACCTGAACAGTTTCGACCAGAGTCCTCGAAAATGAATACATGTACTGTAAAATAAAGCAATCAAACAGCTTAATGTTTCACTTAGATATAATCATTTAGTGACAAATTATCTCCAGAGCGATAGCTTTCTGCCACTTGGCATTTTCCCTTCGGTGTCTATTAATCCAGCTTGAATGTATTCTAAAGAGGGCATCTTTCTCAAATCGCCTCTTGCAGCGACACTTGGCTGCGACATCAGCAGTCTTTTTGCTACTTGAACTATATCATCCTTTGTTATTTTTTCTGCAATTATAATATAAAATACCAATTACATTCTCATTTGAATAGGATATCTATCTGTGGTTTTTCGTTTTATTATGGTCAAGTGCCTATTGAATTCAATAGTAATTCCAAAAATGCTATAAAATCCCTATTTATAAGCCAAATGCCGCCTTTAAAAAAGCTGTTTTCAAGTAAATCTGGTTGTCGTTAGCGGAGCCGTAAAATGTTGCAAAACTTGATAAATTAACTTCCGTTTTCGATTGAACGTGATAAAATGCTACATGTAGGAAAGCTAATGCTTTTTTTAAGTTATATTGCTTTTGAAAACGCCTGGAAAATGTATGATCCTTTATCAGCAGGGCTAAATAATTTTTGAAAGCCTCCGTATCAATAAACTAACATAATAAAACCATTACATTGATAACGTGCACCCTCAGACTGTAATGTGTTACAAAAACATTAAATTAATGGCTATAGACAACAATCACCACACAGTGGTTTAATTTAGGTAGAAGAATATTCCTTTTTTTTCTTATATACGATACTCTCTTTGCACTTTACTGCTTGGCGTATGATAAGAATAAATATTTACACTTCTTCAAATATTGTTTGCAATTGTTTGCACTTCAAATTGTTTGATAAATCATGTGTTTTGGACCCACTTCCATCACGTAAAGTATTAAATCATTGCAACAGGATTTTGCCATTGAAAGTCTCAGATAAGGTAATCAGAAATAAATCGCTACACACAAAAACCTTAATAACTTACGAACCCTTGCCAAAATTCTAATGAAACAAAAAGTGTTTTAAAGATGATTTTATTAAGAGTAATAAAAAAAAGAAGCTGTAATCATTAGTTTTGACAGAAAGTTTTGATTTTTTCTGGAAACCTTTCCATCATCGACTTTGCAGCTTTGTTAATTTGTCTGGCGGCAGGATTTTACTTTACAAATGATTTGCTGCGCTCCCCACAGCTTTACAAGGCTTGCCACACGAGAAACTTTCACTTTTTCTTAGTCCTGAACTCTTCATTGCCACCTCCGCGCTCCTGAGTAAAATTATTGACCCGGAAGCTGGAAGAACTCACAAAGAACGTACGATCGTCATCCATCAGACAGCAATCTTCTTTTGGAGAAAAACCAGTGGTCAACTTTCGAGCCCGTTTCTTTTGCTTCCAGATTGTTACTTGCATTTCTGTCTGGTGTCGTCTGAACTTTATAAATCTTGGTACGTCTTGGTTTTGATTACGACGTATGGTAATCTCGATTTCAAACGGTGTTTGTGTAGCGATTTTTTCTCACTCAGTTCTTATGTTTAACCGCCACTCCATTTCATTTCATAATTTATAAAGTAGACTTATCCCAAAACATTGCTTTTAAAATAAACACAATTTGAACAAATAATCGGATGATTTTTACAAACAAAAATTAGCTAGAACTTATGAAAATGTGGCCCAACCAAAACTGATATTTTCATCCGTTTAGAGATATTATATGAATAGACAGTTATTGAGTCGTTATTTTGTCAGTGTAGTGTCTATTAAGTGAAACTTAAATATTTATCCTAACATTTATTGAGTAAAAAATGTGCTTACCAATTTCCTTAATGAAGTATTCGGGCCGCTTTCTGTGTGCAGTAGCCAATACTTGTCTGCCAATATCCTCAAACATCACCGGTCTGCTCTCAAGATTCATCAATAGCATAGATTGCAGTTGAGTTTTTGCTCTCTGTAAAGAAATAATAAACATCGACTGTAAGTAAATATCGTTATAACATTCTCGATAAATTTACGGTTTAAATGTTGCGTCAAAGTTATGACAAAAGCCAAAGTTTGAGTTTTAATATGTAAATTAATTAAATATGTTAATGTATGTATAGACTATAGAGTATTACAAGAGTCCCTTAGACATCGTCTACATACAGAAGGGGATAATTATTTGGCTCTTTTAGTAAAAACTTTTTTAAATAAAAGCGCGAGTACGAAATATGGGGTGTTGAAATTTTTATATTTTGTCGTTTTTTTTTAAACTACTGCAGTTTTTTAGATAATTTGCTCTAATTTGAAAAATAAGTTGAGTTCAGGACGATAAAAAGCAACAGGATGAGAAAATTTCCATTCTTTAGAAGATTAGACTCTCAATTTTCAGTTTTGCTTAGCAATGTTTCCGTATTACGCGATTTTCTAGATACAGAGATACGCGATAGAGACTAAGTAAAAGTCGTTTTTTTTTCAAGAAATGTTTTATTGTTTGGAATGCAAGAAATCAAAGTGAAGAAAACAAATATTTTTGTTTTCGGCTCAGTATTTCCCTGAGCATAAAAACCCTTAAAATAACCTTCTTTCATGTTTTGGCTGCTTTAGGGAAACACAACAATTACGTACCCTTAATTCTTGGTCTCCGATGGAACTTGCCATGTTAACCAACTCTTTAACAATAACTTCTACCATGTCTCTAACATAGTTTGGAGGTGCACTAGCGTGTATGCAAAACAATCCGGTATCATTATAGGCATGATTATAAGCTGTCGCACTGTACATCCAATGGTACCTAAACATGCGTGATATTACTTACATTGCGTCCCAAATTCCAATCCCTACAATGCTTATGATAGCTTAAGAAATAAAAATCATTTCAGAAGAATCACATTATATGGAACCAATGGAACTATTCGATGGCGTGTATGTTGCTGTTTTCAATATTATAGTTAAAGTAGATTAAAGATTTTTTTGTTCAGCACAATATATTTTTCAGAATAACCTTGGGTTTTTTATCTTTTCTTAAATGTTTTGTTTTCTATTTTTACTGCGGAATGATACTTTACACGATTAAATAATAATGACAATGATTTTTTAAATTTAAGATCAAAATCCCCAATCCTCCAAACAATCAATAAATTAATCAATTTGCAATATAAACTCTGCGGTTTTTTTGGTTTTATATCACTAGCTCTTCTGCTTAAAACAAGCAAACAGGTAACAAATCGTTGGAATATACTTTAGCACCCTCATAAAAAAATTGACACGGGAATTCAGTGCACTCACCTGTTTAAAACATTGGTATAAAGCCTCGTATACATGCCTTTTCCAGGACCACCAGCTGAGAATGATCCACCGCCACCCATCATCATATTCAGCACGCACATTGCAATAAAGTCACTATCCTGGTGCGAGCAGCCTTCCAAGCCGATCATTATGTGCGATAAGACTGGCAAACCAGCTGAAGCGAATTGAGGAATATCACATTCTTCCTATTGCGAGAATGACTAGGATGTAAATAAATGATGATCAAGAGTTATAAATGTATAGTTTACCTGCTCTATCCCTCCTGTATATTGAGCAACGCTCTTGTCCACACCAGAAATGTTCTTTTTTCCGAAAAGCTGTTCCATTTCCCATAGTGGTTTGCTGTCGACGAAATATTTCTGGACTGCTTCAACCAATCGTTCATGCTCCACTCCTGATAGATGACAATTTAATTCCAATCGCAACAATCAGCCCAGTAGAAAAACATACCAACACCAGCAACAACCATTCTTTGTGGAGTATAATGTTGACTCAAGTACAAAAACAGCATTTCTCTGTCAATTTTGTCCAGATTTTTTGAAGGACAGAGCTTGGGAAGTCCTAAAGTATTATCCCTGTAGGCTGCCTAAAAAGCACTTAACATTATTCAACAGGCACCACTTTGACTATTTTTTTTAACTCGCCGCGTGTATCATATCCATGAGAATCGTTTCCTGTTCAGGTCTCATGTGCAAAGTTTCCAGTTCAAAGTGTATAGCCTGTTTCGCTCCATCAACTTCTTCAGGTGTGATTTGGGGCCTTAATGTGGCCTCTGCTAGTAGCTGGATAACATCATTTAAGCCTAAATAAAACATAATTCATTCGTAAAGCTATTCATACCACAATAATATTATTCACGAAGTACAGTACTGTTCCAAATATGACCCGTTTTCAACTTTAAGTGTTTATATCTGGTGAACTATTAACCGCACACCCAGTAAACTTGATATAAAATTTTTACTGTTTGTAAGAGAACCAATTGCGACACATTGGCACAGGGTGCTCCATTTAAAAAAATATTAATCTGATATTGCACGGGTTTTGGCAACAGCCTGTGTAACAAGAATAATTTAAATGAATGGCCACTATTGATGCCAATATGGAATTGAAAAATAATTTCAGTTAGCCCCAAACTTCCGCCCTGAATCCGTTTCACCACCTTGTATATTGTATTATATTAGCCAATATACAGTTGAGTCCGGATATAACGAACTTGAAAAATGAACTAAAACTGGTTCGTTATATC